AGGCAATTGTAGAGACTGCTGGACAGTCTTTAGCAGTCTGCTGTCTTCAGAGGTGATTCTGGAGCTCTGAAAGATGCACCTGTGTCTCCTTTCGGCTGTTTGAGAATCTGAGCGTGCATACGTACCATTTTTTCCTCTTCTTTTAAAAGTAGGCTATTTTTACATTTATTTCTTCTGTATCTTCTCCCTTTCCCCCTCTTCTCATCCTGATTCCATCTCAGTATTTTGCAGCCAGAACTGAATGGTAAGTTTGATCACCACAGAAGCACTGTGTTTTTAAAGAAGGAGGGAAGGCGAAGACACAGGATGTTGGTAGATAGCAGAACATAGACGCCTAATATCAACTTTTTTTTAGTAGGATGCGTTGTTACAAACTAGGATTCAGTTTCAGGGTATGGGAACTGCCCTATAAGAAGAAATTCTTTTCATCTTGACCCAGTCTGTTAGGACACAGAGCCCTAGATAAGGTGTCAAGAAGATGAGGTTGCAGCTCTCGCTTTGTCACTATATTGATTCTTGGCAAGTCTCTTCATTGATGGAGGGCATTTTCTTCATTTCTCAAATAAGAGTCATTAGCTATTAAGGTCATCTGAAGCTTGACAGAGCTGCAGTTTGAAGATGGCTACCACTTGCTACTATCAATGTACTGTTGACATAGATGTGAAGACTATTACTGGCCTCCCCTGACATTGAGTCTCTGCTTGGCCAAACTTTAGTCAGGCCTCAAACCTTCTCCTAGGTCCATCTAGGAGATGTATTCGTAGGTCTAGTTTTAACAAAGAACCTCCCATTCTTGATACCTGATCACCCTTCATTTCTGATAAGGTTTCTCGTCCACCACCATGTTGTAACCAAAAAGCTGGTCAGTTGCTCCCTGCATGCAGAATCCAACGAACAAGAGTGAGGCCTGGTACAAAAACAGTGAATTTATTCTGAAGTGAGCTTGGGAAACGGGCACAAAACTCCTTGCCTTTAAATGTACTGATTCACATCTGGAGCAGAAAGCAGACACTTTTACAAGGTAAGGGGGACAGGGAGCAAGGGCAGGGCTTTCTCCTGCTAGCCTGGTGACTTATCTACCAGCCAGTAGAGTCAGTCCCTTCCTGGGCAGAAATCAGCTGGAAAAGTGGTCAAGCTAGCATGCTTTCAATATGCCCTCAGGGGGATGAAAGTCTTGAGGCAGTTCCTTGAGGGTGGCAGATCCACCTGCTGGAGGTGACAGCTCCCTGGCTGGTGTGCTTTGGCCTGCAAACCCACTGTCAGCTCTGGAGGAGAGATCTATGTTGGAGCACACTCGGAAGAACTTGCCCTGCAGGGAATGTCTGGTGAGGGGGAGGTGAAAGATTATATTTGCATTTCTAAAGGGCTAGGTAGGAAACAGGGAACTCACGGAAAGGAGAGAGAAGAGAAAACAGAAAATAATTGTTAAAAAATGGGGGCACTCGGTTCAAATGTCCCTGGTGATGTCTGTGCACCCTGGCCTGCCTTCAGCAAGAGTCCTGTGAGGTCAGTTTAGCCAGAATGCCCCTTACCCCGATGTTCCCCTTAGTAATTTTCCATCCACTGCCCCCCACCGTGTTCCTTGGCTGTGTATTTCCACTTGCCGGTGCTGTATTCAGAGCTGAGCCCAATCTCTTTCCCCAGCAGCCAGACCCCTTTGCGGCTGTCCCGTACCTTTCACGGTAGTCTTGAATAAAGTCATCCTTCACTTGCTTTAACGAGTAGCATTGATGTTTTTTGCCTTTAATATCCCTTAGATTCTTACTCCAGGAAACCTCCTTATTAAACTTGGAATAAGTCCATGGTCTGTGAAAAGTCTAGTTCTTAGATGTGCATAATGTGTAACTTTTCATTGGTTTTTAAGAAGAGGTTTTAGACTTACACTTACATTAGAAGCTGCAGTGCTTCTGATGTTCTGGGAGTTCACGTGAAGCCAAAGAATGAGGTTGCCACAGGAAGACCTGATTCAGGCGGACTGGCAACCAGTCGCCATCTTCACTTTTCTTTCTTTCTTTCTTTCTTTTTTTTTTTTTTTTTTGCATTTTTGCACAATCCCCTTTCACTCCCACCCTCTGACCAGACTGGCTGTTTTACTTTCCCTAGAGCAGTGGATGTGGTTAAAGCCTTTACTTTGCAGGCATTTACATGGTTCTGACAATGAAAATCAAGTCAGATCTTTGTGTCTGGATCCCCAGGACCCAGCTCAGTGCCTAGAAGGCAGCAACCCCCATATGTCCGTGTTGAATGCATGAGAGGTCCACAGTGAGGTCAAGTATGCATTCATGTCAATAATGAAGACCTGATTAGCAGATCAAATAAATACTTCAATAATCCTCAGAAAAAAAAAGAATAACAATCCTGGCTTCATCACATTCTATTAAATTTTTATGATTAAAAAATAGTCATTGTAAAAAAGGAAAATACAAAAAAATCCATATTTCACCATCTGGTAAACATTTCTGTGTTTATATTTTATATATAATTCTTTTCAAAATAAAGATTTTCCTACATTTTTATTTAACATCGCATTGCTAATTCATTTAATACTTTTCAAGAAGGCTTTGTGGTGACTGTTATTATACTATCAAAGTATATTTATTAGAGGCAAATGCACCTCTATCCTGATTCTATATGTGAAAAACACACTAAAAAAATGGTGTGAACTGCCCAGCATCCCTTCCCCAGGAGAATTATTGATCCCATTGGCTTTTATTTGCCAATGTAGCACTTTCAGGGACTTACAGAAGAGACAAGCAAACGATACAAATGATTGCCTCCCCCATGAGTGTGTCTCTAACTTAACAATGGCTCCTAAGCATAGCTGGTTTAAGTCACTCTCCCCTAATTTTATTCAGGAGCCTTGTATGCCCTATCCCGACTAACATACAAGATTTCTGAAATCAGGGTCTTTTATTTCTCAGTGTTCTATTGCATTCTCATTCCTGCCCAGCATCTAGCAGACCACCTGAAGCTTTCACACCGGGAGGTCTTCAATCCCGTTGAGGAGGGTTTGAATTTCAAAAGCCCCATTCAAGCTTCCCATTTCCTTTGTAACCAACATTTTGCCTAAAGAGTACTCAGGGACCAACGACAAAAAGCGACCACTTGCTTCTTTCGAAAGACATTCCTCCAAGTGTAAGGACAATTGCAAGAAAAAGAGAAATAAAGGGTAGGAAAGGAGCAAATGAAATCATCTTTTCTCCTGATTCCTGGCTCCAAGCAGGCTGGTCAGGCTGCAGCAGCTCTTGGGGACGTGTGTCAGCTGAGTGGACAACAGAGTGTGTCTATGTGGGTGCGTGGGCAGGAGCAGTCCCCACAGAATTTTGAGCTGGAAAAGGACAGTGAAGGCCATTGGGAGCTGGTTTTTATATCTCAATTAGATTTACTCTGATTTATGAGGTGATAGCCAGAAGCCAAATCCATCAGTTGTTGGACCCTCATGGGAGACAGGGGGTGGGAGGGTTGCCCCTACTTCTGTCTCTGGGACCTTCCCATCCAGTACTCTGGGCCACCCTGTCTGTGGGCAGTAGCGTAGCCCTGCTATGTTATATATTTAAATATCTACCAGCACCCTTCCTTGTCATTATCTTAAACAGTTTATAGAGATGAATGTCTACAATATTAGTTAGGAATTTTGGTATGTTTTGCTAAATATAAACAACTTTGGTTTATAATATTCATACAATCAACCTACACTGATGAATAGTACTTACAAAGCACTCCTGTATTAGAGATGGAGTAGCTACATAGTATCACAGGATAGAGAAATGAAGGGCCTTCAGACCACTAAGACTCTCCCCCAGACTCTCTCTGGGACACTGCCTAGCACAGGCTCTCCCCAGCCAAATCTCATTCCATTCAGACGTGACCTGGGACATATCATTTCCTTTGTGCTGCTTTATCAGGCAGAGGCAGCCACAAAGAACTGGGCAAATATTAGTGCTAAACTGTGAAATGACTCATTTTTCTCTTACCCTGGCTGCTGAGCAAATGAACAAACCTTACTCCTATGTGTTTAAAAATATATAAAAGTTTGCCTTAAAATAAGCACCTCCCCCCTTCCCCCCACCCAAAGTCACTCAATCAGTGCCTGGAAAAGTGTGTGGAATGTGCTCACATCCTGCGCAATTTAGGGAGAATTTTCTCTGAGTATTCTGTCCACAGGATGTAGCCTTGCCTGGCCTTGGGTTGATTAACTAAAAGGCCAGATGGAGAAACAGTCCCCAAATAGCACTGCATAACTTTCAACAATTCTTTAATTTTCTTGACTGCTGAGGCATAGCCAAATAAGAACTTACCTAGGGATCAGAAACAGCTGAAGAGCAATTGCAGAGGAGAAAACACATACTCAAAGCTAGAGACAGCTCCTAGGCAAACTGCTTTCAAGAAACCCATTCTATTCTGGGTTTAAACAGCTGAGCTGTTTACTTCTGCCATAATATCTCAGTCACATATTCCCCTTTGCTGGGCCTTAGTTTCTCTCTCTGTGAAGATGACTATGCCCCATTTATCCTTTTTTTTAAATTTATTTTTGGAAACACTTAGTGGAACATGTATTCAAAGATTTCTCAATGAGCTTCCACGTCTCCCATTGGGGCAGGAGAATTATTGATCCCAGTGGTTTTATTTGCCAATGTGGCACTGTCAAAGACTTACAGAGAGACAAGCAAACAACACAAATGGAGAGAATCCCAAATGGAAACGTGCATATATGTTTGAAAACAAGTATTCAGACCTGTGCAGATGGCCCCCTCCCCCTCCCCATGCACATACACAGAATCACATGACTCTATGAATACACACGCAAGCAGTTGTGAACAGACAAAAATATATGCATGGCTAGCTATTTACACAGCTGCACCTGAAATCAAATAGACCCACACCCACTCTTGAATATTCTCCATCAGTTTCCCACTGTAAGGTTAGAGATCAAACTAACCTTGACCTCTTTCATACTCCCAGCCCTGTTCTTCACCAAGGTTATGACTGCAGTCACGGGATCCAAGGATCCAAACACACATTTATTGAGATGCTGTACCAGGTATGGGGAACATCGAGAATAAGAGAGGCCCTCCCGTGAGGGGCTTAGGTCTCATAGAGGAAGGAGATGCACACAAAGCTACAAAGCCACATGAGAAGTGCTCTGACTCAAGTGACCACAGGACGTTGGATATATTTCTTTGATCCTGAGATCTGGACAGAAGTCAGTCCTCCTTCTTCCTTCAGAGGATACGATGGAGACCCAGAGAAATCTGCTCAGCACCAGTAAGCTGGAAGCCATGCTACCTTCCACCCAATTCTCCCTGGGGATGCTGTGCTGGTTTCAGTCCCTGGGTCCTGCTCCTAGCTCAGCCTCTCTTGCTTGCCCCTCAGGCGTGTCCCGTGGTAGAAGTTGAGGAACAGAATGAGGAGGCTGAGGGCTTACAGGAGCACAGACACGTTGAACTCATCAGGGAAGGGGTACTCGATGAGGAAACTGTAGGAAGACAGCAGTGGCCACAAACTGACCCTGAGCAAAAGAAAGCGTGAGAGGAAAGAAAGGGAGAGCAGTCAGAAGCAGTCGCCAGGAAGGAGCAGGTGCTCTCTTGGGTCCCTCTGTGTTAAGGCCGAGGGCGGGCCTGCCACAGCACAGGAAGAGGAGAAGCAATGAAGCCTGCCAAAGCACAGTTTTTCCCACATCACGGTCGCAAGAACCTTCTTGACACTTCTCCTGGTCCTGGTTGCCCCCAGTTTCCCTATCCAGCTATGTCATGGTAGCCTTGATGATAAACTCAGTCTGTTCAGGGCCCCATATGGGACACTTTAGGCTGTCACCACCATCTGGGAGGCAGTGGTGCTCCCAAAACTGCAAGGCATCCAGGCACTTGGGGGGTGCAGTTGGTGATCACAGACTCACAGGGTATTAATGCTTAGAGGTCATTGGCCAAGGCCTTCATTTTATAGATGATGACATTGAGACCTGAGCATGGAAGCACTTGTTCAAAGTCCCACACTGTCCCAGTGAATTAGGGTTGGTTCCAGGATCTGATGAGATGGCTACTGAGGCCCCTGCAAGTTGGGAAGCTAAGGAAGATCTAAGGATGAGAGGGCTTGTTTACGGGCAGATGCCAAGTCACTAGTATAGAGTGACAAGTCAAGAATAGAACCAAGGGCTCAGCCAAGGACCCTAGACCCAACGGGGTCTCCTTACCAGCTGTAGGGTGGTAAGACATCGTTTCCACCAGAGGTAGGGCCACATAAGAGGCCACAGCCTGGCCAGTCCATAATACAGGTACATGAAGACATGGACCGAAGAATTAAGCATTCCCATGAAGAAGGCTGCAGAGTGGGGTGGGGAGATAAAGGAAAATAAGTGTGGCTGGGCTTAACTGTGGTTTGGGAGTTCTCTTTGATGTTTCAATCCTCCAAGCTGCAGGGAGCACCTCTGCAATATCTATAGAGAAAATCCTTGGAAAGACCCTATCCTGCGGAGGTCCACCATGAGCCCTCTGAGGTTGTGATGATGGAGGGATGGAGTTATCGAAGTGCTAAATGAGAGTGTTTCTACTCCCTTTGTACTCTCTGGGATGATGGCTATGAGCATCTCCCAGCAGCCACCTCTCCATCCCAGAGACAGGTAGCCCGGGATCTCTGAGGAGCCACAGGGACAAATGGGAGCAGAGGTCTTGTCTCATGGCCTCCGAGAAGGGAAAAGTTAGAGACTAAACATGATATTCCAGGGATGCAGGTCTCCTGAGCTGGAACTCAGCCCAGCAGATCTGCCTTACAAGGACCTGGGGCAGGGCTGTCCACGGCGTGCGTCACTTACCTGCTACATATTCGACTGCAGCCCATCCATCACAGGGCATGGTGCCATGATGGTAGAGATGCAGAAAGGTGGGCTGCTTTGGCTTCATTCATAAAGTAAAGAATACCTGGAGAGGAGGAAGAGATGATGACGTCAACTCTGGAGGTCTCCTTTCTCCAGACTCTTCTTCTGGGGCCTCAATTATCCCTTAGAGTGGGACAGGGTGTTTCTACCTTTTTTTACTGAAGGAGAGACTGAAATGAAAGGCAAATAACAACAATCAAACACCAATTTTTGACCTACTGTGTACTTTAACTGAGGCTTTTGAAATTCAAACCCTCCCAATGGGGATCTAAAATCTCATAGTGTGGAAGTTTCGGGAGGTCTAGATGCTGGGCAGGGATGTGTGGTGGGGAGAGGAGGAAAGAGAACATGATTCTACTTTATGTGTATAAAATAATCACTTAAACACTGCATCACTGTATGCAGTTCAGACTCCTGCTACTTCCATCTTACAGGAAAAAAAAACAAAAACAAAAACAAAAAATACCGAGGCACAGAAAGGCTAAGTAACTTGCCAAAGGCACGCAACTAATAGGTGGCCAAACGGGGATCAGAACAGTCTGGCTTCAGAGACTGGGTTCTTCCCAATGGCTGGTCCTTGTCCCCCAGGGCACTGGGGTAAGAATTCAGGTATTGAACACTCAGCCCAAGATCCAGACACCCACACAACACATTCCCACTTTTTCTCTGCTCAGATCTTTTTGGCAAGAGGCTGAGAAGAAAGAACCCCTCTCTTCATCACCAACCACACCATTATGTTCTTGTCTCACTCTGCTTAATTCCACGAGTCCCCTGGCCTCACCAGCAAGGTCTCTTCTCGGTAACATGGAAGGATGGCTTTTGCTGTCTGATGACCCTTGCTATATCATGTCAGTTTTAAAATTTGTTTAACTTTCCATTTTAATCTTACCTGGAACCTGGATACTAAGGGGGCAAATGCCAACTCCTTCTTCTGTGGATAGGGAGCAGGGACCATGTGAGCCGGCAGAGAGGGATGCTACCTGAGTGGCAGAGCATCCTTCCCCCGCCAGGTACTGGACCAAGGCTTTACTCTGAAATTAGTCTCTGGCACAGCCGCCGGGGCAAATCCAGAGAGCATTCTTGCTGGGTGAGTCAGACACCACCCCAGATTTGGCTGACAGATATATAGGAGCCCATGGATCCCAGATCTCACCTGTCATGTAATTCAACGACCTTCAGAAAGAGGCAGCAGCAGCACATGCTCACCATCTGCTGGGCAGAAAGGGGAAGTTCATCAGACTGCAGTCCTGCTGGTGCCAAAGCTCATCACCGCCCTGGTCTGGGTTCAACCTGGAATCCTCACTGTTCTGTACACCGCTGATTACACAGTGCCTACCTGTCTGCAGGCAGATGCCTGTTAGCACAGGAAAGAAGGGGAGAAGCTACTGGAGTGACCACAGAAGGACTCTCCCAGCGTGCCCCAGTCCAGAACCTTGCAATCTAATGAGCACGTGGGCATTTTGTTCATGGAAAAGCAGATTCTTAATCAGTGTGCACGGGGTGGAAGATGAGATTCTGCATTTCCAACATGCTGATGCTGCCAGCCCCAGGATCATACTTTGAGTCACGAGACTTGAGCCCATCACCAACATCCAGTGACTCAACATCCATATCACCCGGTGACAAGCCTCAGCTACCTGGTGACAAGCCTCAGCTAGAGTCTTTTGTTACAAGGAAGGTTTTTTTTTCTTCTTCTAGTGGAAAAAGAGAACAGCTAACAGTGATGAAGTCACTACCACTTAGCTACCACTCAGTGTGTGCTGCCCGTGCTAAACACTTTCATATATTATCTATCATATACTATCTGATTCCATCTGCTTTCAATCATTTCCTTTTATAAAATAGGTATTATCATCTCAATTTTGTAGGCAAGAGAATTGGGTCCCAGAAAAGTTAGGTGTGCTACCCATAATCACACAGCAAGGAAATGGCAGAGCTGAGATCCAAACTGAGGTCTGAGGTCATCTGACTCCAAAGTCTGCACATAACCAGACAGTCCCCTGCCTCTCATCAAAAGGCTCAGGTGACACCTCCTTGACCTCAGATTTTTGTGAAGTTCTCCCTCCTAACCCTCTACAGGCTTACCTCCTGCTCCCTGCCATACCCTCATTCCACACTTGCTCCAGCTGTAGTCCTCTGGCTGGCAGAAGTAGCTACAGTTAGCCAGGAGCGGGGTGGCCATGACCTGGAAGGAAAAGGAAAGAGGAAAAGACCAAGTCATAAAGCCTGCTCCCACCAGGGTGAGCCCCGGCAGGCTCGGACTCCTGAACACCGCCACCCAATGCAACCTTCACTGACACTTGGTGAACATCGGCTAAGAAAAGAAACTCCATGGGGTGGCCAGATCAGAGGCACCAACTTGCATACATCTTTCTAGTCTCTAATTTTTTAATGTGGGCAAATATAGACTACAAACCCACCCTGGGTGCCTACTATGCATGCAAGCCTAAGATAGGTGCTGAAGACAACAAGGCGGTCCACACGTCAGCCCTGTCCCAAGGAGCTCCAAACCTGGCTGACAATGTAGAAAAAAATCCTAACCTTACAGGTTGGTGCTAGAGGAAGAGTAGAAAAAAACAGGTGTTCCAGGAGTTGGAACAAAGATAAGGAGGCTTTGGGCAGACAGAGGGGAAGGAGTGTCAGTTTCATGCCAGGACAAGAGTATGTGGTACCTGGACCTGGGGGGCTAACTAGGGGATTAGCAGGACTCGCGTGGAAGCACTGACCATAGGAGAAGGGGCCACAGAATTGGAGAGACAGGAGAATTGTGAATAAAGGGTCTTGAACGCTATTGTAAGGAGCTTGAATTTTATCGTTTGTTGATTTATTTGACAATAACGTGTTGAATGGTACTAAGCACCATGCTGGGCACTGTTCTGAGCACTGGATGACATTGATAAATCCAAACAGTTGCAAAACTTGGGGGACTTGGCATTCTGGCCATATACAAAAAGGGCCCTACGGAGGCTTCTGAGCAAGAAGCTGACAGTGAGCATGGCAGAGGATTCAAGGGATTGGGGTGGCAGGAGAGTGCCTGGTTGCCATAATTGAGTAACAGATTCTCTAGGGCATGCCTTAGGCCTCATGAGTTATTGGTATCCCTCATGTGCCACCAGATGTTATGCTGGGTCTGTCTTTAAACAGATAAGTAAGACAGGGATCCTGCCTTTGAAGCACTTGCCATTTGGGAGGGGAAAAAGACATATATGATAGTGGTGACACAGCCGGAAAAAGACCACAGTCAGTGGGGGTCAGTATATCCTTAACAGGCTCCTAAGGCAGAGGAGCTGTCTGCAGGGTTTGCCAATTCCTATGGTGTAAATATTCCTACCATGGTGCAGGGACTTCAAGTTGCTTCACACAAAGTCACCAAACATGAAGTAACAGGGAGATGCACACCTGGTGCTCACCTGCGGGTGGAGTGGCTCCAGCCCACAGAGAACCAGGACTGCACCAAGAGGTGGGAACAGCTAAACAAGGAAAGAATCTGGCCCTAGAGGAGTCAGGGAAGGCATCCTGTGAAGCGACAACTGACCCGAATCTAAAGAATGTGCAGGAATTTGTCAGGAGACTGGGGGACAAGAGCAATTCTGGGAGAAAATCAGTGATGTGCCCAGGCCTGAGGACTTGCTGAGCATGGCTGTATGGGCTGGTGAGCAGGCCTGTGCTGGACTAGAGTGGTGTGCAGGGCTGCTGAAAGTGTGTAGAGGGAGACGTGGCAGAGAGGAAGGCAGGGCCAGAGAGGACTCCGGAGGGCTTTGTGTGCCCAGGAGGGGAGTTTAGCCTCAGCCTCTGCAGGATGGGAAGCATCAGAGGCTCCTAGCAAGCAGTGGCACCATCCTCCCCGTGCTTGGGGTAGTTTATTGTGTCAGTAGGGTGGAGGATGCACTGTAGCTGAGCCATGAGAAAGGAAGAGAGGAAGAGGAGTTGGAAGAGGTGTGGTCGTCTGAACCTGCTTCTTCCGTCTCTTCCCTGCTAGCTCACCAGCAGGCAAGAGAGATGGAGGAGGAGGCTGCAAGCTGTATGGCCAGGGTGCCTGGTTTGCACTCTGCCTTGCCGCCTGGTAAGTTTCTTAACCCTTCTGTGCCTCAAACAGTGCTGTCATGAGGATTAGATGAGCCTAACCTCATAAAGTGCCGACACCAATGCTTGCCCTGTAATCAGCATGGGAAATCATCTGTGATGATCATTACCAACTTCTCTGAAAAGCTTGTCCTGACACTCTTACCCCTGGTCCAGGGACTGGCTTGCTGCCCCATCCTGCCTGCCCCTGGTGCATGATGCATCCTTTCCATTGCCCACTCAACACACAATGCATTGCAACCACCTGTGCCCACACCTGTCTCCCATCTAGACTGTGAGCCTCTGAAGGGCAAGGAGCCCTGATCTCGCAGGGATTCTGCAGGCCACAGCACAACCTGGTATGAAGCATACACTTGATGTACACCTGCTGAATGACTTTTTGCAAGGTCTGGAAGAAATACCAGATTTGGGGATCAGAAAACCAGGCAGAGATTAACAGAGCTCAGGTAGAAACAGGAGATGGCCCATACCAGGTGGGAGGGATAAGGAATTCCACTCTGGCTTGCCACTGACCTGCACTTTTTCATGTAAGGAAATGGAAAGTGGAAGTTTGTAACAGGGATTGAGCAGCCAAAGACAGCACAGAATCCCAGCTCCTGCATGTGACCCCATTGAGGAGGCTTTTCAATCTGCTATGTACGAATATTATCGTTCTATTCATCCCTCAGTCACCCCTCTGAAAAAGATCCTAGAACTCTCCAGGGACCCCATCCACCAGCCTTACCTCCCAGATGTATCCTGAGAGATCCACCAGGGCCAGGTTGTAGACAGCCAGGACTGTGCCAGCCCCAGAAGCTCCTGTGGGACACGAAGCAAGGCCTGATGCCACCAGGAGAAGATGGAAAACTAGGAGCTGGGTGGCATGGAGTGGCAGTGCAGCAGGAGCCAGGAATCCATCCTCGAGCCTAGACAAGCAGAGGAGAAGTGACCAGAGGGCCAGCCACATTACCCATTCGCCCCTAATCCCTCCCCACAGGAGCTTCCAAGGCCTTGTTAATCCAGCTCTTGTTCCCAAAAAGTCTAACACAGGCTGGCTGAGTAAACAGATGAAAGCTCCCTCTGGATGGTATTATCTCCTGCTTCTGTTTTGTAAGGGCCAGGGGTATTTACTCCAGGGCTTTCCCAGGGCCATTACTGGCCATTGTGAGCACCTATAAGTAGAAGCTAGATTTGGGTCTTGTCCAAATCACCACCTCATCTACTTCCCCTTTCCCTCCTCGGCAAACAGTTGACTGAGAGTCTACAAGCTGAAGTTCCTCAGTCTCTCCCATATGACCCCCAGCTATGGTGTTGCCCCAGCACTCCTGCACTGGGACGCTGCACCACCACCTGCCATGCACTTTGGGGAGCCTCCATTGGCCATAACTTTGTGCCAATCCTCATACCTTTTGCTAGTCTACGTGGGATTTACAGCCCCTGGCAGTGGCCTCCAGATTGCAGGGTACAAGAGACATGGATGTGGCTACTTGGCAGCAAGAGGGGGACCGAGGGGCAGAGAGGCACGAAGGCCTCCCCTTTCTGCTGCACAGTGCCCGCCCTCCTAAACATCCCTGGCTCCTCCCACATCTCACGGGCTCAGCCACACCCAGTCCTCCACAGCTGGACTTACGCCTCTGGCTTCTCCCAGGCTCCTCTGGGCAGCGAAGGAAGTGGCTCTGGCTGCTCCGGTGTTGCCAGCTGGTGGTGGGTTTGAGTGAAGGGTCCTCTGGGCTCCAGGGTGCAGGGCATGACTCATGGGTAACGCCACCCTCCCAGAAACTCTCTACTGCTGTGCTCTGATCCTTTGTTGACCCCAGCCTGAGCCCCTGGGCACCCACACATACCCAGTCACTCACACATACGCACGCACACATGCACACACACACACAAAAAAAAAACTGTTGAGAACTAGGAGCTGAGGCTGCTGTCCAGGTCCTGGGTGGGCTCCCTGACACTTTCATGGCCCAAGGGAGAAAGAGAACAAGAGGCAGCAGGGGTGGAAGGAGAGCACACAGAGGGCGAAGGACAATGGTAGCTCCTCCAGAGAGGTGTGGGGAGGAACAGAGATGGGCAGCACCCAGCACTAGGCAGACCACCCACATCCTCAGAGCATCCCCACGGCCTGTGGCCCACACTCATCCTTCAGAGCAGGGACCACCCTATTGGACACTTGGACAGGCATGTGGAGGACACGTGCCTCTCCTGTCTCCACCAGGGTAGGCCACTCCTCTTGTCTCAGAGTTCATTTTTTTCTTTTTTTTTTTTTTAATGGATTGGAGGTTTCAGTGGGATGGGAGAATCACAAGGAATCAGGTGTTCAGAGGAATGTATTGAGTAGAGGTGAGGAACTAGAATGTTGAAAAGTAAAAAAAGGAGAGAAGGAGAGGAAGAAAGAGGAAGAAAAAGAGGGAGAGAGAACAGGAATATTGCTTCATTCTAAAAATGGGTACTAATAATGGCCAATCAATATTTTGTGTATTTAAAATGGAGAACTCTATAAATATTTATTGAGTTTACTTGTTCTGGATCTGAGTTGAAGTCCTGGATATCCTTATTAATTTTCTGTCTCATTGAGTCTAAATCTCATTATGGGTGGTATGTATCTGGGTATTAAGATCTCTTATTGTTGCATTGATCCTTTTACCACTGTATCTTTGTTGCTTTGAAATCTATTTTATCAAATGTGAGAATTGCAACTCCTGCTTTTTGTTTATTCATTTATTTTTGCTCTCCATTTGGTCGGTAAATTTTTCTCCAACCCTTTGTTTTGAGTCTTTGTGTATCTTTGGATATACCATTAGGTTTTGGCTGTATCTTTTGATTGGGGGATTTAGTCGATTTAAATTTAGGGTTACTGCCATTTGATGTTAACTGGCTATTTTATCCATTCGTTGATGTAAATTCTTCTTTATGTTGATGCTCTTTACTTTTTGGTATATTTCTAGAAAGGCTCATACTGGTTGTTCCTTTCTATGTATAATGCTTTTTTTAGAAGTTCTTGTAAAGCAGGCCTG